CCAAGTAAGTGGCGCCTTACTTCAGAGTGGCTTACACGCTCCATCCAACCAGCGTCAAACTACGTAAACATCTGCATTCGAAAACTTCTAGACGACGAATATCTTCCACACTCAAATTTGGGGTCTCGCAAACATAGAGCAGACATGACCACACACTGGCGCAGTATACACGACCTTTCAGTTTCAACGAAACATTGCGTCTGCACCAAAGGTCCTGTGTAAGCTGCTCTAGCCTTGGAAATACGGGCGGTTACTTCATCGACTATGCTGTCATTTGAAACGCAGCTACCTAAGTAGGTGAAACATTCCACTACAACTAATTATTGGCCACCAAGCATCAGTGCTGGGGTAGACGACACCCAGTCTTGTAGCATCACTTTGCACTTTAAAGGTGCAAAGCGCATGCCGAAAGGAGATACAGAACTTTCTGTCAAGAGCTAATTGCGCATCCTCCATCGATTCGAACAGGCATACGATGTCATCGGCGTATTCTAAATCACAGCTTTTCTCCAGCTACCCATTCAATACCTACGTTTTGGAGACCACTAAGAGCGTTCTCCAGTACTTCGTCTACGACAAAACTGAACAAGAATAGCGAAATAGGGCACCCTTAACGGACACCGCTCCTGGTTTCGAACGATTTACTTATCCCACCGTAGACCCTTACGCTACCAGAATTATGCAGGTACAGCGACGGCAATAGGTTTACTTACTTCCGCGGCATTCCTTTGCGAAGCAGCGACCCCAGAAGAGCTTGACGGTCAACTGAATCGAAGGCCTCCTTTAGGTCCAGGAACACTACGACTGTTGGCTGACGTATGTGACGCAGTTCGAGGACTTGACGCAGAGTGAAGATTTGGTCGATGCACCCGTGACCTGATCGGAATCCTGCTTGTTGTTAGCAGATATCCCTTACTCTTAAGAGTGTCAGGAGACGAAGTATCACAGAAGTCAACAATTTTGTGATTATCGGAACTAAACCAATCCCACGGTGGTTAGCGCAGTCGTTGAGTGATTCCTTCTTGAAGATCAGGACGATAAACGATTCACCCCAGGACAAAGGGATACGCATCTCCATCCAAACGCTGCGAAGCTAGTAATTGAGGCAACAAGAGAATCATCGCCCACCTTGAAAAGAATAGGGAGAAGTCCATCAGGTCCGGCTGTTTTTCCTTTATTTATTGATTGAATGCAGCTTTGTACTTCCAATTCCGATGGGGACTCACATGTGACCACCTACGGGGTTTCCGCCACAACTGCTGGAATGACCACATTAGCACTGGGCCAACTGAACTGGTCACGAAAATACTCTGTCCAGCGATCAAGTCAAGTTGTTCTTTATTGTAGATACTCTGTCCACTTTTATCGCCAATGGTCTCACTGACCGGTATGCGACGACCTCCAGGTAAAACAGTCGTTGACTGATGCAGAAGCTACCTCCATTTCACTAGCTATTTTGGCCCACCAATTTGCGCAATCTTTCTTAAGGCTATTCCTGAGTTGACGTTGCGGGAGACACCAGTCCTTATACTGATCCTGGCAGATTGGGATCTTTCACTTTCGATCCATCAGGATTATTGACTCCTAAGAGATTCAATGCCTTCGGCGAACTACGTCGCGGTTCTCCTAGCTCCTGTCCCAGCTTCTCCTCATAACGTGCACAGACAGATGGATCGTGCAGACAATGATGAACTAACTGAGGAGGCGATTTCTGCCGATGACCGATGAGTGAAGCGTATCAGAACTAGTGCATGATCCGACTCAACGCAAGTGGTCCAATAGGATCTGCAATTTGTACTGAACCACTCCAACGGTAGCTTACAGCTATGCGGTCAACTTTCCCGTTGAACTAGAACACCGTATAGTCGTTCGACGAGAGCTGTCGGAAGTTGGTGCTAGACAAGAACGGCCCGTGATCCGCGCAGAACTGAAGTTGTCGATCACCGTTGTCTGTCCGCTGGGCTGGGAGGGCGAAGTGCCCTCCTAGACAGGCTTCGGGTGCGCTCAGTTGTCCAACCTGCGCGTTAAAATCACCTACTAGCACAATATCGGCTCAACCGAATCAGTTCGGCGAGTTTGTCGTAAAATTCCTCCTTTTGTGAAGCGAGACTGCAGTTGGTTGGTGCATACGCGGAAATAGTGAACAAGCACCTTTTGGTGTTGCTACCTTTCCGAACACTAACTGAACCCTTTAGCCTCACTGCGCACAAACGACTATTGACAGGTATTCAATCTATCATAGAGGCTTCAGCTTTATCGTTTAGTACGATCCCTACAGCACGCTGATCCAGTGAGCGGGCTGCGTCATCTCCTGATGTGAGAAGGAAACACCTCCAGCACAGACCCGGCGAACTCAGGTGGCTTATAATACTAGGATCCTGAATGCGTGTCTCCGATAAGCAACAGACATCAATTTCTAGAGACTACATTGTACGCGCAAGACACTCCTGTTGACTAACCTGCCAAAGAGTCCTCACGTAGAAAGTCCCCAGATTGAGAGGTTGACGAGGATTCGGAATCCGAACTTTATTTACAGGAAAACTAGTTACAGTGCTATTTGGCAAAGACCTTTGGCGAGTGACGACCAAGTTGTCTGAGGGAATATTACGGGTCGGAAGAAGGGGTAAAGGGATAGAGTTGGGTACGGAAGACAAAGAATTAAACAAAGGTTGGGATATCTGAGCACTAGCCCACATCAATATCCGCTCGATGCAAGGGGCAGCGCGATCCTAATTATCCTGCGCGGCGACCGATGTAGTATGAAGTTATTTTTGTTTGTGTTCATTGGAGCTTTAGGGACGGGTACTACCATGGTGTCCAGCCACTAAGCGGGAGAACGATTAGGGTTCTTAACCAAAGCCTTTAGTTCTGACAAGAACCTAACCGCAAGGCAGCCGATTGGAGGCCCATTACCTTTGAACAATTATTCCTCCAACACGTTTTACCGACTAAGACGCCGACTCAAATCGAACCCCCAACCCGGAAGACCAAGAGACTGGACTTTGTCTGACCTCTACCCATTGACCTTCCAGGCATGATCAGATCTTTGGCCCGGCAAAAGTCGTCCTGTGTAGCTTGTTGGGTCACAGAGGTGCACAAGCCATCACACCACGTCAAGGTAGTCTCATCGTGATGGACCCTATAGTCCGGAGTTCGAGCCCCGCCACCGCCACCCAACTTTGTGGTGGGCAGCTCCGCTGTCATCCGGTTCAATACCTCACCTAACCTATCGGGGCCTTGTGCGGTTCGCCACTCCAAGCTCCGGGACTTAGGTTGCTGGTTTCCGCCACGGAACAGCAGGTCCTCGTGACTGTGGGGTTTGCCCCGTCTGGTATTCATCATCATCGTACAACGAGATACAATAAAGCAAACTTCACTGATCGCTGCAAAGCGCTGTTCATCACAATTAGGTGTAATAAAAGAGAGCAGACTCGCTGTGGTGGAATGTGTTCATAGGTTATGGGAATGTTGTTTCCCGATTGCGCTGACCGGGGAAGGGGGATAACCCCAGAGTCCTCACCCGAAACCTTTGGCTAGAAAGCCAGACGTGCAAGATAACAGGACGGAGCTCAGAGTCTGCAGTTCATTGAGGGCCAGTGTCTAGTTCATTGGGGTCAAATGTCCAAGGTTCCCAGAACATCTTGATGCCCAATTTAGCCGGTGACCATTGCCGTGATCAGGAGAGTATGCGTGTGGTTCGTACACCTCTTCTTGATTGGTTTGGAACCCTGATTTGTAGCCAATCCCCAGGTGAACTACCAATGGTTCATCAACCCGGTTACAGCTCCGGATGTTAGCTTTTCGTCCTCTCACTATGTTAGGAAAATACCTCTGCCACGGGAAGGCAGTGAGTAGGGCTTCCTTAGCAAAGGTTATTTGAGGCGCTTATTCATAGAGGAACATTTCACGAGGTGTAAGGGAATGGTGATTAACCACAACCCAAGACAACTACCCTGATCATACTGAGGCTTTCAGAAGTCGGATTACTGGCCCGGGGTTGGTAGTTATTTGGGTCCTTTTTGCAGGCCGACAACTCTTGGCGCTGCCCATTTTGGCACTACTGAGGACAAGTTCCGCAGCGGCTGTCTGCGCGTACAGTCTCGTGTTGGGCAATGAAGCTGGCTGAGCCGGTGGCGGGATCGATGCGGCGGCTGTCGGCATCGGGGATCCAGACCCCTTCTCGGTCATGTCGAGCTTCTCGCCGGCGGCTGGTTGTTTATTAGCGAAGGAGCACCTGTCTTCATTTTCTCTTTTGACCAACGGAGCTAGTCGACGGCGCTTCGGTTGAAGGAAACTCCGTCGTACAGTGCGCAGATCCACTTGAATAGGACATGTTCGAAACTACGCCACCGATATTGACGGTGTTTAAATTCGGGAGACAGTGGTCACAGACGAACTTCAGATTGGATTAATTATACAATTGCAACGCTCTATACATATCCGGTTGGACGTTTGTACATGCAGCATCACACAATAGATCACGTCAGGTTTCACAGGACTGATAATAGCCACGACCAATCGAGCGTCCAGATTTCTTCTGGCAGTATGCTCAAAGTGTGCACCCACCACTGCGATTTGTCAGTACGATTTCCTTGCTGAAAAGCCTTCGCACCCGGACCAAAGGTCTTTTTGCACCGTGGGCACGAAGACATGCATTTCGCACCCATGGAACACGTTATTGCTTTATAGATAAACAGGACGTACACAACATAGAAAAATAGGTCCCATGGGGATGGCTGTAACAACCTTGGCAACTTGTCATTCCCTTCAAGTATAGGTTCATGGTGTTTGTATTTCCCTCTTACAGATTGTCAGTCAACCCTCTCCACGAGAACGGCCTGTTTGTCGACAGTTCCAACCCACACCGAGACTCGGCCCACTTGCGGTTGTCTGCATCCGTTCACGAGGGACATCTTGCCGCACACACGAGTCAAGGACAGTATCTTGCTAGTTCACCTCCGTTTTTTATTAAAAAAGGGATAACTCAGGATTTATGATGTATGAATGGTAAATCTAAAATTCTCGGAAGAAAACAAATAATTTTTGTGGGAAATTTCAAGTCTGTGCGGAATACTTAGTAACATGCTTTTTGTTTGTATGAACGAACTTTTATGAAGTATATCGGTGGGTGCAACGTACGTTTGTCCCAGTGCGTCGGGTGGTGCCCGGCATGCCCTAATTGATTGCATCATATTATTGTTCATTATAATTATCAAAAAACGTAGTCATTCCCGGCATTGAATTGAATCGAAAGATTTTTCGTGCGTCAAAAAAATCGTACATTGGTGGTATATTTCGAAAGTTTTGTGCAGAAATCGATTGAATCATACGCCCACTGGCGAAGACGAACTGAACCACAGCTTTAAACACGTGGTTCCGCTAGTGCTAATCATGAGTAGGAAAACTACTTACTTACTTAATTACAGAAAATGCGGTTCTCAAATATACACTTAACAGCGTTAAATTTCTATTTAATTCATTGAGGAAAGTAGTTAAAAACAGTTTTCATTTCTATTCAAGATCAGGCCTATCAATTACGATTTCTAAATATAATACTGTATGACGGGCTTTGAAATGAACTGCAGGTTGACTAGTCGGAATATATCAATGGTGTAATGTGATGCTTGGCTCGTGTGATCGGCAGGATGTCCCTCGTGAGCGCGTACCTTAGACAACCGCCAGTGGGCCGATTCTCACTGTGGGCTGGAACCGTCCTTCCAATTATACAGCGTTGGGTCGCACTAGGGACTACCACTCATACGGACCAGTGGGCGGCTTATCGATCGCTTACTCCGTTGGGATATATCCACATGTGTGTTAATCATCCGGGCGGATTTGTACATCCTGCGACCGGCGTTCACACAACCAACGTAGA